CCAGCCACTCCTTGGAAGGAAGATGGGGCAATCTACTTCTGTAGTGACACTGCCTTGGAAACTCAAGGAGGGGTCACTATGAGTCAGGTCCGACTCGATGGCACGTAACAACAACTATGGACAGGAGAACAAACTCCTAAGCACAAGCACAGGGTAACAAAGGAAAGCCAGCAACCAAGGTAGTTTTCTACCCATGAGCAAGGAAGCACAGTGTTAGACAGTTTTTAGTTAATGACAGTTCTCTAGGGGTGTGGGTGTGACCTACATTATCACCATGAAATTCAGTATTTATGATGAAATATTTAAAAAGAAGGATTTCTTACTATACCAAGACAGTATGGACTGCCCTGCAAAAGAAACTAGTTACAATGAAATTTAAAAAGGGTTAATGTAGTGTACTAAAGGCCTCTCAAAATGTTACATCAATTCTTGGGCAGAGAGCACTGGTTTTGTAATTATAAAAGAGGAACACATGTTTCTCAATCATGTAAGCTGTGGTGTTAAGTTAAAAGAAAATTGAGTCACACCAGGAAGTTAACCATTAGAACAAAAATATAACTGGGAATATTGAGTAGACTATGATTTAGTCACTCTTCAAAGGAAGATTGGGCAATCTACTTCCATAGTGACACCATCTCGGAAACCCAAGGAGGGGTCGCTATGAGTTGGAGATGACTAGAGGGCACATAACAACAACAACAAAACATGATTTAGTTCATTTGTGGGAAGTCTTGCTCTTAACTTTTCAATAAGAAAAAACAGTTTGCATCTCAAATATAGAGTTTCAAATGATTTAAACCTCCTCTTAGATACTAAGCCTAATAAATACCCAAGGAAGACCCTATCCCAGAGAGCAATCAAGAGCAAGAGAACAAGGAAGTGTCACAGCACATAGCAAGGGTAAATCAAATATGAAGCAGGAAAAAAAAAAATCAACAAAAGTGTTGCATTTCTATGAAGTGATGATGTTTTGAAAGTTATTTTTTAAAAACGTTAGCAGAATTATGGCAACAGTTATTAAACAGTCAGCTTATAATAAAGTATAAGGTGTACATCTTTAATTCTAGAACATACATGGACAATGAAATACATAATAAGTAACAAGAACTTCCATAAGAATCTAATTGCTGCTGTTGATAGTTGCCATCTAGTACATACCAACTCATGGTGAGCCAGGTGTGCAGAGTGGAACTGCTCTGTGGGGTTTTCAAGGCCGTGATCTTTCAGCAGCACATCTCCAGGCCTGTCTTCTGAGGTGCCTCTGACAGGGTTTGAACTGCCAAACTTTTAGCTAGTAGTCAAGCGCTTAATTGTTTGTACCATCCAGGGACCCCTTCATAAAAAGCTACACATCTAGTCGATTCCAACTCAAAGCGACTCTATAGGACAGAGTAAAACTGTCTCATAGGGTTTCCAAAGCTGTAAATCTTTGCAGGAGCAGACTGCCACATCTTTCTCCTGCCTAGCAGCTGGTAGGTTCGAACCCATTGACTTTCTGTTAGCAGCCAAGTGGCTACTGGGTTCAAACTCTCCAACTTTGGTTAGCAGCTGAGAGCTTAACCATTGTACCACTCCATGAAAAATTGAGGATACTAAAAATCGAGGAGTTTAAAGGAAGGATAAATGAGGGAGCTAGTGACTGGTGCTTGGTGCTTTTGCATCAATATATTAAACCGACAATGAAACTTACTAACAAAATTACTCACAAAACACTTGAAAATAAAACAGTATCTAACCATCAGCATTTTCCATATTCCCGGAATGATAAACTATAATCTTAGAGGCAAAATTAGCTTCCACCAAGTTTATTTTACTATTATACTCTTCCTATTAATTGCATTTACTTTTCTTATTTTATTGTATTTTTTAAGCCAAGGAATTGAACGTTCTTGGAGAAAACAGATTATTCTGCCTACCCAAACAGTACACACCGCACCGAGTTACCTTGGGTATGTGGGCTGAAAGCGGTAGTTCCAATTGATGACCTGAGCGGCTACGTAGAACTGCCTTAGCTGCGCTGCTTTGGCCTTTTGGCTTCCCCAGCCTGCCCAGGCGCCCAGAACCACCAGGACCCAGAAGCGTGAGCAGTCTGGGAACATGGTTCTTTTCCTGCTTTTGCCCGCGGCGCCCGGGGACCTGGGCAGGGTCGCTTGGGCCGCTGACAGTCTTCGCAACTGAGCTGTCCCTCTGCAGTGAGCGCCAGCGGGCTGCGGGTGGAAGTGTCCGCCGCCCCAGCGGCTACTGCAGGCTCCGCCGCCACTGCCACAGCAGCCTCTGGCTGTAACCCCTCCTGCGGCCGTTCCTAGTAGGGGGTTGGCTACATCACTGCCCTGAACAAGAGAGCTATTAAGGAGCACAGCCAGATTAGTGACTGTTTTACTACAGCGGTTTTAGTAGGCAGGGCAATGCTCAGGGAGGGATTCCTGAACCGCGGTTCAGAACTGTATTCTTCCACTTCCACCACCGAACACCACCGGACCAGTAGTCCTCACTACTCACCATAAAACCTGCCTAGGTCAAAGTTCACACTTAACAGACGGTCTGCAATTCCCAGTGGGAGAGAACCCAACACACTGAACCAGATCACTCTCCTGACCCGAGGAAAAGGATATTATGTCTTGTTCCCAGGCACAGAGGCAATGTGTTTTCAGGTGGCGAGGAAGCAAAGGGCAAAAAGTATGTAAAGAAATCGGATGCCCTGAATCACTGTACTACTTCTCTCCACTATGTGAAGGGCATTAATAATTCAGTGGTAGATTCTCCACTTCCATGCGGGAGACCTGGATTTGATTCTGGGCCAATGCACTTCATGTGCAGGTGCCTCCCTTTTGCTAGTGGAGGCTTGTGGGCTGCCATGACACTGAACAGTTTTCAGCAGAGCTTCCAGACAGACAGACTAGGAAGAAATGCCTGGTGAACTCCTTTTGAAAATCAGTGAATGAAAACCCCATGGCTCAATGGGCAGCTAACATGTGTCATCAGGTAGGTATCAATGCACTGATTTGTCTTGATGAGGGCCTGTTGTCACCTAAAGAAGCAGCACAGCAGAGTGCTTCAAGAGCTTGGCTAAGAAAATCAGCAGACCCAGATTTCAGTCTCACTTACTAGCTGTGTTGTTTTGGACAATTACTTAACCTTTGTTTTTCCTGATGGAGTTGTCCTGAGGATAAAAGTATACCATCCGGTGTATAATTCCTAGCACTTAGAAAGCACGCCACAATACCGCATAACGTGGATGAACCTGGAGGACATTTGTTGTTGCTGTTGTTATGTGCTATCAAGTCAGACCAGACTCATAGTGACACCTCCTTGGGTTTCTGAGGTGTTATCACTACGGAAGTAGATTGCCCATCCTTCCTTCTGAGTAGTAGCTGGTGGGTTTGAACTGCCAGCCTTCTGGTTGAGGACATTATGCTGAGTGAGATAAGTCAATTGCAGAAGGACAAATAATGTATTAATCCACTATTGTAAAAAATCAAGTTGCATTGTGGTAAATTGTGGTCAATGTCATGAGACAAAGTGTATGTGAACTGCTGTATGGAAAGTGAATTTGCTCTGTAAATTTTCACCCAAATCA